GTGATGCTTATATACGCAATGATAAAGTAATTGAAGGAAGTTACTAGTTATTTATGTAAAAAAACATGTTATAGAGTGGATTTGGCAAGCATGATCAAAGTAAAATAACTCCCAATGCTGCCAATACGAGTCTAATCAACGACTTTCCGATTCGTACTTCGGACGCTGGACGACCAACCTATACAGGACTCGTAACAGGTAGGCCGGTTAAATAGGTCATGGTGACCAACTTCCTGCGAAGATAGGAATGTCGATATGTGATGTTTATGCGCAATTATAGTGTAAATGGAGATGATAAATTTTAAGCCTAGTTATCAAAGTTGAGAAGGAAAAGGTTATGCGGTGATTGACACAGACACACTCGGATTAAACAAATAAATCCAATTGCTACAGATAAGATTCGATCCCACGACAACCCAATCAGTGCTTCGAATGCCCCATGCACCACTGAGTTAAAAGAAACTGTTTGGAAAGGTGCATCCAGGCAATTATGTGAAGGAAGATTTCTTACGTTCTTTCAATATTTTACAAAATAAACTTTACTTTCAAAAACTACTATTTGCAATAGTAGCAATACTTACAGCACTAATTTTACTTACACTATCAACACTACATGACGTACTTAAAGTAACATTATTTACAATACTAAACATCGCTTACAATGCTACCATTGCAATAACACTACAACGCGTAGTACAACGGAGAGCAGGGGAGTAGAACGTTTAATCAAACCAGCTTATTACAAAAAGTGCAGCTCACGAATTTTCCTGGCATGATATATTATAATTTTAACCATGCTAATGGTAGAATGGTGGAAAGGGGAGTTACTTATACGGGAAAAAAAGATCTCACTTCTCGTAATGTTTTTGCCAGTGCACCATTTCTTTTGGCAAGCAAAAATTATACGTTGAGAGTGGCTTTCAATTTAGCCTTAAAAACTTCTGAAGATTCTTACACCTGCAGAACTGATATGGAACTTTGCAAGCAAAAGTAGAGTCTTTAATGTCAAATTTACCAAGCAAAACATCAAAGAGTGAAAAACTATCACATTTTTATTGATGGCCGGCCATGATAATATCTCTTTCCAGAAGACGTCAGTTGTCTTACAGAAAAACAATAAAATGCTCGGGGGACTATTTATTAATCTTTCAGAAGTTACAAAATGGCGAATCAGGAATCTTGAATTTAAAAAGATTATTAATTGTAAAATAATACAGTTCAGCAATTTATACTCAAATACTCTAAATTTTGTGTCCAAAGTAACATTAAAGGCTAATAAATAGACTTCTTTCCAGTCAACAGAGGTTACTAATCTTTTAATTTAGCTTGAGCGGTCGGAGGAATCTATTCACGGGAACAGAACTCTTTATGCAGTATTTTGGAGGAGATGCTAGAAAGATCAAACATCTCGCCCTTTATTGGCACTTGAAAAGAATATCAATGAAAGGATACGGTTCAACATGAACATTTTTTTTCTCTTTATGGTGGAGCATCATTCATTCGGTGTGGCGCTGACCACTCCCAGTAAGAGGAAATATTGACCTGCAGTTAGTTTTGCATTGAAGATTTTTTCACTTCCTAGAAAAATAGTATCTTTAGACACTAAATCTCCAACTTTACCTATTCCACATGTGTCGTGAAAGAA